ACACACAAAGCAGAAAGAACCACACACTCATCCACACACACCTGCCCGGTGTGGGGCCCCACCCGCCGACCTGACAGACCTGTTCGAGCAGCGTTTGGTCGCCCTGCCCGAGGTCCAGGTTGTTCTCGAACCGATACGCCACATGGTCACCAGACAAACGGTCACATATCGCAGTGAAGTAATCCAACACCTGTACAGACCAGTGCAAGGCAGGCCATCACACACGCCATCGCCCCCCCTCTCTCTAGATCTAGATGACCTACCTGGCACCTCACAAGACTCAGGGCGGGGTCGACAAGCAGGAAGAATTCACTCTCGTCAGCAAAGTAGGTGATATCGAAGCCAAAGGCCTTGACGGGCCCCTCGGCCCGGCCGCTGTAGTGCAGCGAGAAGGCGCTGGGCGTGTCGGAGGCCGGCGTGCGGCAGATGGCGTCGGCCAGGCAGCAGATTGCTGCCATCACCGTGATGCGCGAAGCGTCCAGGCCACGGGTGTTGCGGAGGGAGAACACGGCTGCGAGGAAATGGCGGGAGACCTGGTGCAGTAACCTGGAAAGACGGAGAGAGAGAGAGAGAGAGATGCATTCATCCAGCCAGCCGTGGGTGTGCATGTTTTGTTGCACTACCTCATGAGATCGATCTGTGTTTCTCGTCTGAGTGTCGACGTGGCCCAGATGCACTTGGTGGCGCGATCGGGATGGCCGTGCGGCAGGGGCAGGGGCACAACCTAGCCATGACAGCCACACACACACACACACACACACACACACATGGATCCAAGACTCCTTCCATCTCTCCCTCCCTCCCTCCCTCCCCCCGCCACTCCCGTGGTCCACTCACGTGGACAAAGAAGTGCAGGATGAGCTGGTATCTCCAGCAATAGGTGTGTTTGAGCGACTGGCTCTGGTTCGCCAGCAGGGTGCAGCACTCCACCACCCGCCGCAGACCCACACCCACCTCGCCCACACTCCGCACCCGGTCACTCACACCAGACAGCTCCACAGGCAGCACCAAGGGCACCGAACGCGCCTCACCCGCCAGGCCCTCCACGCTCGCATCCCTCCGAAACCTCCCAAACAGGGGGAACCGGGTGGCCGTGGCGGCAAAGGAGCACTTGGGGTCGGCGATGGCAGGGCTGAGGGCGCAGTTGCCCTCTCCGTATCCGTTCTGGGATGCGGGCAGCCGGCTCCTGACCTTTGTGTGTATGGCGTCGATGAGCTGCCGGACGGAGAGGTAGTGCTGGGGGGTGAGCCATAGGCGGTGCACTTGTGGTGGCGGCCGGCTGGGCTCCTCGCCCTGAGCGAGAGCACGGTCAGACGCCACCTGGGCCAGCCGACTGAACACACACAGAGCAGAACACACACACAGGGATAGATAGGGTCCGTCCGCTCCTTGTGTATGTGTGTTGTTAGCTGTCCCTTACCGACAGGCGAGATCTGTGAGTAGCTTGTCGGACCGGTGGAATTTGGTCTTCATACTGGCATCGACGTCCTGCTCGACGGCCTTGCAGACGGCCCAGTGTAGAAGCACCTCCACGCTGGCCGCCTCGGCCCTCGTCAGCCCCTGGCCCCTCAGCAAGTACAGCACACACCCCATGACGCAATCCACCGGCGACGCCATGCTGTTGAGCGTGCTCGTCCCCTTGAACTCGTTCCGCCACAGCCCCCCCGCGCCGCGCATTCCGGGCCCGCTGTCGGCCGAGTCAAGGCAGCTGCCATCTGGCGGGTCGAACCAGTTGTAGAGCAGCGGCTTGCCATTGAGGTAGGGCAGCAGGACGTTGTAGAGGGTGCGGAAGTTGGTGGCGTGAGGCTTGTAGAGGAGCCTGTAGACCAGCAGCCAGAAGGAGCTGTGCGCCACCCTCTCACCCCTCACGCCCTCCAGCACCAGCAGTGTGTCCCGCTGAATGATCCCCAGTGGCGGCGACGGCAGCAGCCGCACCGCATGGTTCTCCGAACCGAGCCCGCCAGGGTTCACCACCGCAAAGGAGTAGTTGGGCCGGTCACGGGGCCTCGAGACGATGAACAGCAGCCAGTGGGGCTTGGACTGCAGGTCGAGCGCCACGCCGCCCGGGAGGATGACCGACTCGCCAGCGGCGAGGCCCCGCACTCGCGATCCGACATCGATGAGGAAGCTGTGGATGGCGGCGGGGTCGTATTTGCGGGGGATGCCCTTCGCCAGGTTGGCGTCGCACTGGAGGAGGGCGAACTTGACGGCCACAAGGGCCTCCCGCAGCCAGGTGTTCTGCGGGCCCTCCGCGATGAGCTTGTCCACGATGCGAAGACCGAAGGATAGCGCACCTGACAGACAGACAGACGAGATGATTCATGAGAGCGCTGCCGTTGTTCTTTTCTTTTCTCATTTCTGACCGGTGATGGCGGCCGAGGGCGTGACGCCTTCGCCCTCGGCGGACGAGGGAATGCCGAAGAAGTCGACGGCATAGTAGTCGATGAATTCGGGCGTCCGCCAGATGCTCGTAGCCATGTCAGATGCAGATCACGCCCTTGCCGCAGAGGCAATCAATCTGCCGTCATGGCAGCATCCACAATAGCCGTATCGCAGTCAGCAGGAGCGTGAAAAAGCCAACTGATGAAGACGGTGTCACAGAATCACAGATCCGCCGCGGTTTTCGCCCCTTATCAACGCCGCTTGCTACGGTGGGCTCTGATGGCAGGGGAAGGCGCACAGCCCGGGAGATCTACTTCTCTCTTCTAAGCTCGCAAAGCTAGCAAAAAGGGGCGATTTGGCAGACCGGGCTCTCCCTGCATCAATATCAGCGCCTGAAGGTGTGAAATGACAAAAGGAAGTTGAATTCATCGATTCTCATTCATGGGATGGTGTTGTGGACCAGATGGAGGACCTTGCGGACGTGAAGAAGCGTCGAAAGCTGTTTGTCAAGTCTTCACACAAGCCACAGGTAGCACTGCGCGATGCAGTCGCCTGTCGCTTTAGTCATTCATCGATACTGTGTGTGTGTGTGCGTGTGTGTGTGCGTGTGTGTTTGTGTGTTGTTAGATGTCGAGTGCCGCTGACCCATCGAAGCAGCATCGTGTGGCGGGCCAGCCAGCTGCAGGCAAGGGCAGCAGTGCATTGTCTAAGCCTAATGATGAGAAATCGCATCGCTCCGAGCTCTCGGTGATTGAAGCAGGAACGTCCCTGGAATGGGGTGACTGTCGTCATTTGGCTTTTGTGCTTGTGTGATTGTTTGCTTGTCGGCTCGGCAGGTGTACAGTGGTGAGTTTCAGGAGCAGCTTGAGGTCATCCAGTCATTCCAGACACAGGTGCCTGAAGCGATCGAGTGAAGGCAGCACCCGCACCTAGCGATGACGCAGCTTCGTCTCTTTGCTTCGCCTTTAGCTCTCTTGCTTCGATACTCAAATGGCCATCTCAGAGCAGCTTTTCAAGTGCACCACTGCGCCACATGTACGGCGGGACCGAGAGCCGCTCCGCCGCTCACTGATGCATCTCTTGCCTGTGTGTCTTGTCTTCTGGTGTGTCAGCTGCCTTGTGGCTCGAGCATGTGGGCAGCCATGACGACCAAGGTGTCGGAGCTGTCCACCGCCCTCAACGACCTTACCACTGCCGTGTCCAGCCTCCCCTGCTCGACCGGCAAGCGCACCGCCCTCTCTTCCAACGCACCTACCGCCGTTCCCATTGACGTCTACCGGGATGTCTTCCTCCCATTCCTGTCTGTGGAGGACGCCGTATGCCTGGCGCGGCGCACCAGCAAGAACTATGGCACGGGAGTCGTCAACGAGACGTTCCTGGAGCGCCGCATCGACAACAATCTGCAGCAGCATGAGCTGGTGGGCACGGTCGATGTGGACCGGCAGTATGGCACACAGGGGGATGGCGGTGGCGGGAGTCTGACGCGCTTTGAGTATTTCGGCAAGGTGGCGTATGTGGTGGAGCAGGGGGAGGGTGAGTGGGCCAAGATGGGACAGCTGCTTCGCTTGGCGGACAACCACGGCATGATTGATCGCAATGCACAAGGTGCGATACATGAGCCACCAATGGGGAGAGGGCGATGGGGAAAGGGCACAGTGCATCATCCGTATGTTGTCGATCAGATACGGATGATGTGAATGAGGAGGAGCTGATCAGGCGGGCAGGTGTAGCTGTCGATCACCTGGAGTTGCCTCGAGACTTCTTCGATGCCCTCTTCGGTGACCTCAGCCCCAATGAGACCTCAGCCCCCCAGCCAGCTCAGACCCTTCCCGTCATCATCACACCCAATTGGATCAGCTCCAAGCTGCCCACCAAGGCGTCCTTCCTTCGGGTGCAGCTGTCGAGCCGCACCGTCCGCCACCTCCCCCTCACCCTGGCCATCCATCGGACAGTCGGCTACTACATCATCGGCTGCAGCCTGGATCTGAACCCGGACCCTTGGGGCTTGGGGTGGCGTGTGCCGCGGGCATTCCGCAACGAGGTGGTGTACGAGATGGGTCACAGCCGCTTCTGCATCGTGCGCGAGGACCAGCTGCCCCCGAAGCACCGCTTCCGACTGCACTATGAGAAGAGCGACCCTGTGATCCGCCGCTGGGACAGGTACGTGGACTGGGATGAGATGGAGTACAATGGCGAGAGTCTGCCTGATGACGTCATGCACATTGTCTCTTCCTACTCGTCTGCTGCCATTCGCACGATCCTCCCTACCTCCCCTCGCTATGTCTGTGACGTACATGTGGGTGCGCGCGATGACGACTATCGCTCGCTTTTCACGAGCAGCACGGTGGATGGGTGTGTGGTGGGCGAGTGGCGGGACGAGGTGGGGGGAGATGGTGCAGAGCAGCATGTGGTCGTGTTGTGTGGGCACCGGCAGGGTGAGTCCAACGCGGCGCACCTGCACTTGTCTGACGGTCGAGTGGCTCTCTACACGACAGAGGAGGCAGTGCAGGGTGCGTCTGGTTTTGACTCGTGCTACCCTGTGACTGCCCCAAGTGTGCGACGTGTGTTGAGTCGATTTGGGGGGCTGGCAAAGCAAATGGTTGATCGCATTGAGGAGAGTCTGGCCGAGGGAAAGTGACCTTGTACAGAGAAGATCGATAGCTGACTGACAGTGTCGTCACACGCCCCTTTGTATGCCTGTGGGGTCATACAGAAGAGAGGGCTGCCGTCGCGTCAAGTGAGTGCTGTTTTCCTCACTGATATGCGCCATCCCTCACGTATCCGCCTTGACTGCTCCCTTTTCGCAATGACGTGCCCCTTTTCTCACCGCCATTGCCGTACCATTGTGGTGGTGACTCTGGTGTGTGAGAAAATCCTCACTGATCGAAACACAAAACAGACAAAATAGACCAATTGAGACACGCACATGTGGATTCAACGCACAATGCTTATGACAGGCTGAGCGCAGGATCTTATGGTGCCCTCCATCACGCATAAGTAGCTAAATGAAGGTGCTACGTGCGAGCAGATATACCCGGCGAGAAATCGCTGTCTCGGAGACGGCAATGCCGCCCGCAGCGTCTCGTTTTTTCCGCGCGTCTTTCCCCGTATTCTTCTTCTCGAACGAACGTTTTTCTTCCTCTGCGCATGCCGTCCACCCCTCCACCACATGCCTACCCATTTCCTGCCACTCCAGACAGGAGCGGTCGACCAACCCGACTCAGTGGCAGCAGAATCCAACAGCGCAGGTGATGGAAGATGGAAGACGTGTTCGCCCTCTCGCGGGAGTTCTCGACACCCCTCGTCCTGTGAAGGGGAGGAAAGGGGTAAGGCATGAGAAGGCGGAGGGCTGTACAGAAGGTCATCTCCTCTCTTCACTTCTTCTCTCTGTCTTGCCTGTGTTCAATAGACTGCATGAGTCCCCCGTGCGCATCCCGCTCGCGCGATAGCCGAGCCGAGAACAGCACCGACGTACAAACCGGTGAGCGAGGAGCACCGACACCCATCCATCCATCTATCCATTCCTTCTTGTTTTCTCTCTGTGTGTGTGCAACAGGATGCCTGTGTCGACCAATTGGCCGACGTCCCTGGATGCGGCGCCAGCAGATGCCTGTGTGCCACACACTGACGCTGACACACACACCATCTGCTGCGTCGCTGATGCCTGAGATGAGGTGAGAGGAGGGTGATTGTGGGTTGGCCGGGTGGGTGGGTGGTGGTGGGGAAAAGAGAAGACGACGGCCCACGTGAATGGAATGATGTCGATTGGTCTGCCTACCTTGGTGCCTGCGTCTCCCCTACTGTCTGTCCTTGCTTTTAGCGCATCGTGCTGTTGACGGCCAACCGAACCATCAAATGGGATCGGGTCGGCTGTGCGCCAGCAGGCACGAGGCGCATGCGAGAACAGACCCAGGGGATTGCACGTCACGCCGGAATGTCGCGTGGGTCGAAGGTGCCCTTCTTTTGTCACACAGCTGTGGATGGGGTGAGTGGATGGATGTTTTCGCACTCGAAAGAAGGTGCTGGGGCTGTTTGAAGTAACAGGAAGAGAGAGAGATATCAATAGGACGATTGGATTCCGATGTGCTGGTTTGTGTCTGTGCGAGTGACCTTCTCCTACGGCACACAAGCGATCGGTTGCACATTTCACCGGTTGCGCTGCTGATAGCTGCTGACTCCTTTTGTGCCGTGGCAGGAAGGCCGCTCGTGTGAACATTAATGGCATTGCTGCAGATGATGCGTCTGTGCCTAGCAATACACACACACCATCATACACACATGGGCTGAATGAACGTGTGCAGAGACCGTGTGTTCGACATACTGCCTGCACACGGGAGGGAATGTAACACCGGTTCAATGTGATGCCTGACTGCCTGACTGACGAATGGATGAAGGGCAAGCCATCAGACACACACAGTGTCACCACACGATGGGCTGGGGTGTGTAGAGAGGAGAATGCGGAAAGCAGGCGAGACAATGTATATGCCTGCCCCTGTCTGCCTGTCTGAATATTGTTGCCTACATTTTATGTTTGCCGACACGTGAGCTCTCATGTGCTGCATGAGACATGCACTAAGTGCCCAGCACTTTGTATTACATACTTCATTTCTTCGTTATCTGGCACCACATCTGGCACCTCATTCTTTGTGTTGTCGAGCCGAGGGCTTGTGCTGGCGCTGCATTGCATCCAGACGGTTGTTAAGGCCTGAAGGAGACTGGTGCCATCGATCGCTCTTCAGGCCTTAATTCGTCGCTCTAAAGATGGGTCAGCAAAAAGCCGCGGGGGGACAATCATACAGCTGCACAGTGTCGCTGGATGTGTCTTGGATGTGTGTGGGCGCAGGCTTCTATTCAGACTGGGCGTTGAGTGCGCCGCGCAGTTGCTCGTGGGTAATGGAAGAAGGCGCTTCTTGCCTTGCCAGGATACTGGGCGTGAGTAGATTCGACTTCAAAAGTCCAAGACAGACATGTACATGTCATCCCTAACTCACCGCGCACACTTCTGCCCTTTCCCCTCTCCCTGTCTCTGTGCGCTTTTCTGCGTCCCCCTCGCCCACTTCAAAAACCCCGTCGGTGAGATGTGTCGACAGAGATGTGTGTGTGTGTATGTGTCCACGCGTACAACCAGCCAGCTGATAGTGAGTGCAGCTGCCAGCTCTCGCGATCTCTCTCGGTCTCTCTGTCCCTCTGTGTGTGATGGCAGTCGCGACAAGCGCACCACATCACGAGGCATACCAGCAGCACACAGCGATGAGAAATCGACCTCAGGCACCACAGCACCATAGCAGCAGAAGGCGACACGAGAGACAGAGCGATCTGTGTGTATGTGTGTGCGTAAAGGTGAAAGGCATGGCAGCCACACGTGTGGATGTGCTGTGTCATCAATGCAGGCAGGCAGAGAAAGTGCCCGGCGACATGCGGGCAGGGATGCACCAGGCCATGTCTGCTCAAACATACCATACAATTCACACGCACACCCAGAGAATGCAGCAATAGCCAATACATGTGCACCCACTCATGCGAGGAAAAAACACCCACAATACAGCAGGCCCGGCATACCGTCAATATGATATGTGTGTGTGTGTGTGTGTGTGTGTGAGTCATCAATGCACGCGCAGGCAGGCAGACATAAGGGCAGCAGCAGCAGAGAGGGGGAAGAATATACCCAGTATGGTGGCAGGGATACACCAGGCTCAGACATAACATGCAATTCACACGCACACACGCACACCGGCAGACAGAATGCAGCCGGGACCAGCCAATCCATTTGCACCCACTCATGTGAGGAAAAAAAAACACACACACAAGCAGGTGCGGTGATTCCTTCTTTGCTTCAAAGACCGTATGTCTGTCTGTCTGCCTGTTTGTTTGTTTGTTTGTGTTCCTGGCTCCAGCCCATCCACCCTCAGGTGCCCCGCCTTTCACCGCTGCCGAATAGTACACCATACAACCAGCCAATAGCCACTTCCCTCTCGTATGGCAGTCGCGAGACAGACAGACAGACCGACGGACATTGGGGGAAGGCAAGCCACCAGAGGTACGCAGACCATAATCATGGCCTCATGTGGGCCGTGTCTTCTCCCCCATCCATGCCATGCCATGCCATGCATGCACCCTCCTCCCTCCAAAACATGGAAAACCATACAGCCATCCACCCTCGGGCGCCCGCTGGCGTGTCCACCCTCCCTTCTCTCCACCCTGCACCTGTTCTTGTCCTCTATTTCTTGCCGAAGATCAGATCGATGAAGCCGCAGCAGCATGACTTCTTCGATGCTGCACATCACACCACATCACAGATACCACACCACATAGCACATGTGCCGTCTCTTCGTGTGCGTGTGTATATATGTGATTCTGTGATCGCGTACTCGGTCGCTTGGCGGGCGGTGCTCGTGCCACTGTTGTCAAAGCGGCAGATCGTGGCATGGCTGAAGGCGTTTGTGCAGCATATCCAGACAGAGAAACGAACACTCACAAAGCAAGACGAGATGCAGCACATGTCTTGTCGTCGAATGTACCTACCGCTAGATGTGAAATACGGTTGTGTCTTGACTGCCCACACAGGCGGTGCAGCTGCTCAGTCGAAACAGGGGCAGGCAAGTCGGTGAGCGCTTTGTCCGTCCATCCGTATTTTGTCCTACCTACCGGGTCTGGCGATGTACGTTGGCTTGGTTGGCGAATATGTCGGCACCATGACAGCTGCCGCCATACCATATCCTGACACAACACACACGCACATACAGTTCATGCCACTGCCTGTTTGTATCACCCACGAACCGATTGGATTGAGTGTCGGTGGACCGGCGTATGTGTAGTGCATCTGTGTCTGTTTGGGACCAGCGAGGTGATGAGACGTTGCAGCTGCACGACACAAAACCAGGCACCCACACGAATAAAGCTCACATGAAGCAAGAGGCACAAGATACGCTTACGTGGCACTGCAATTGTGGGCGCCTTGCCGCCTGACGCCTGCCGACTGATGGGGACACACCGATATCCAAACACGTAAACGAATTGTCCATTGGGACCGACAGAGGTTACTTACGTGCCATTTTCGACCGACTGGGTGGAATGCCGAAGCTCTGAAGGGAGAAGGGAGAATGGACACACACATAGGCTCATGGCACTCATGCTAACTCACGAAATAAGTGACGTGGACGCGTGTGTGTGGCCGTGGCGCCTCACCCTTAAGCTCCTTCTGGAGCGCTGCGATATGACGGTCACCTTCCTGCAGCAGCGCCTCCTTGTCGGACAGCTTGGCGTCACGCTCCTGAAGCCACATGCAGGCAAACACGTGTGCCCTGCACCCATCCCTTCGTGGCTCTGCCCACCTCTATCTCCTTCTTGAGTCTGTCGACGGTTCGCTCTAGGTCATTCTTGTCCTGCTGCAGTGCCCGACGCTCCTACACACATGAACAACGCACACACAAATCCATAGAGAGCACAGACGGCCGGCTGGGCGCAGCTGGCTGACCTTTCTGGTTTGATCGGCGTGGCGCTTGAACTTCGTGTTTAACGCCTTGTACTCGGCCTCCATTTCCACGAAAGCGTCCTGCATGCCCTGCGACCTGCGCTTCCAATAGCCGATGTCCAAGCCAATGGGAGGTGGACGGTCGTCCTGTTGCACACACATAGAGAGAAGACAAGAAGGAATGCATGGATGGATGTGTGTCGGTGCCCCTCGCTCACCTGGTCTGTCTGCCCTTGGTGCTGGTAGTCGGCTCCTGCCCGCGAACATAAACTGGCGGCCCATCGAGCGAGGATGGCCACCCTCCCTCAGCTTATTGAACACAGGCAAGACAGAAAGGAGAGATGAAGAGAGAAATGCATGGATAGATGGATGGATGGATGGATGGGTGTTGGTGCCCCTCGCTCACCTGGTCTGTCTGCCCTTGGTGCTGGTCTCGAGTCGGCTCCTGCCCGCCCGCGAACATAAACTGGCGGCCCATCGAGCGAGGATGGCCACCCTCCCTCAGCCTATTGAACACAGGCAAGACAGAAAGGAGAGATGAAGAGAGAAATGCATGGATAGATGGATGGATGGATGGGTGTTGGTGCCCCTCGCTCACCTGGTCTGTCTGCCCTTGGTGCTGGTCTCGAGTCGGCTCCTGCCCGCGAACATAAACTGGCGGCCCATCGAGCGAGGATGGCCACCCTCCCTCAGCCTATTGAACACAGGCAAGACAGAAAGGAGAGATGAAGAGAGAAATGCATGGATAGATGGACGGATGGATGGATGGATGGGTGTTGGTGCCCCTTGCTCACCTGGTCTGTCTGCCCTTGGTGCTGGTCTCGAGTCGGCTCCTGCCCGCGAACATAAACTGGCGGCCCATCGAGCGAGGATGGCCACCCTCCCTCAGCCTATTGAACACAGGCAAGACAGAAAGGAGAGATGAAGAGAGAAATGCATGGATAGATGGATGGATGGATGGATGGGTGTTGGTGCCCCTCGCTCACCTGGACTGTCTGCCCTTGGTGGTGCACGTCACGGACTTGGTCATGCGTGAAATGGACACGGACTGGAGGGGCATCCAGGGACGTTGACCACCCTCCCTCAACAGTGGCAGATGCAGCAGCAGCAGCAGCAGGGGCGGCATCCGGGGCTGGTGCGGGGAGGGGTGGGGGTGCGTCGTCCTTGTCGTATGGCTCGAGCTCAGGCGAGTGTCGCCCGTCGTAGTTGGGGTTGACGCCCGTGCCGATGAAGTCCTCAGGCCGGCGGGTGTCCTTCTGCTGTGGCGTCTTGTCGTCACCTGACGCTCCTCCTGAGCCGGCCTTAGAATCGGGGATGTTCAACAAACCTGACACACACAGAGACGGATCCCAGCAGATCGACAGATGTCACTCACTGGTTGTGGTGTGTGTTTGTACCAGCGAGGTCCATTTTGAGTGCGGTGTCTCTGTGGTGCTGGTCGAGCTGCTGGTCCTTGACCTCCCTGGCCCGTGCGATTGCCTTTGAGTACTGGCGGAGGACGTCCGCCTTGGCCCTGAAGAGGGGCAGCTGCGTCTGGATGGCCTCCCAGTAGGCAGAGTCCACCGCCTCGCCGCCGTGATCCAACTTGCGATTCACCTGACATGCATAAGTGGCCACACACACACACCCATGTGTGTGTTGGCCGTGGATGGGTGAGGGGTCATCAGATTCACCTCTTTCTCCATTTCGTCGACTTGTTCAGCCGACTGGCCCGCCAGAAAGGCGTCGATCTCGGCCTTGACGCTCTGGGGAATGCCCGACGTGGCGTCCCGCCTCACCACACCCACACCCATGCCTTCGTTGCTCTTGCGCCTGGCCTGGTCGAGTGCGTCCTTGGCGACGATGAGCAGGTTCTTCCAGAAGGACCTGTGCTGTGTGTCGCTGAGGACGTGTGTGTGGATGTCGTCGAGCATCTCGTCGAGCTCGTCAACGGACATGCCCTCGAACATCTGGGGCGGCGTCAGCTCCAGCAACGACATGTCGTCAAACATCTGACCTGCACACACACACACACATCGACCAGGGGCAAGAGAGCGAAAGCAATGATGTGTGATGGGGAGAGAGAGAGGAGGGTCTGTTTTGCGATTGTGGGGGTGTGTCATGTACCTACCTTCCATGATTCTGAGTGCCTTTGCGATCATGTCGATGGGTTTCTCCCTCCCCTGGTGTATGCGGATGTCTGACCGCATCCTGCTCGAGGTGGAACTGCTCCTCCTTCTTGGCCCACTCGGCGTAGTTCTCCTGCTCCTTCTCCCTGGCCTCCTCCTTATCACGCTCCTCACGACGCTTCTTGACAGCAGCCTATTGAACACAGGCAAGACAGAAAGGAGAGATGAAGAGAGAAATGCATGGATAGATGGATGGATGGATGGGTGTTGGTGCCCCTCGCTCACCTGGTCTGTCTGCCCTTGGTGCTGGTCTCGAGTCGGCTCCTGCCCGCGAACATAAACTGGCGGCCCATCGAGCGAGGATGGCCACCCTCCCTCAGCCTATTGAACACAGGCAAGACAGAAAGGAGAGATGAAGAGAGGAATGCATGGATAGATGGATGGGTGTTGGTGCCCCTCGCTCACCTGGTCTGTCTGCCCTTGGTGCTGGTCTCGAGTCGGCTCCTGCCCGCGAACATAAACTGGCGGCCCATCGAGCGAGGATGGCCACCCTCCCTCAGCCTATTGAACACAGGCAAGACAGAAAGGAGAGATGAAGAGAGAAATGCCCACCCCACGTGCCTTGCCCCTTTCCTCACCTCAGGCGAAGCCTGCCCACCCCGCGCGCCCTCTGGCTTCTCATGCCTTACCCCTCTCCTCCCCCGCTCGTGCTCCCTATCCATGACTATGGGTATCTAGAGCTCCCAATAGGACGGAATGCGATGCAATTCTATGGAAACGCAAACCTCAACACTCCTGTGGTAGGGCAGGGGTCAGTTACACGGCGCCTCGACCGTCGAGAAAGGAGAGACGGGACCATTTGAGCGATTTCTGCAGCTCTATTTGGCTATCCGTCTTTTTTGTTGTCACTGTTATTGTTGGTTGTTGCTGTTACTGCTGCTGCTGCTGCTGTTGTTCTGGGGAGGACAGCTGGAGCGGCAGCAATGAGGGGTCCTTACCACACTGACCAGGTGAACGACCCAACACTCACGTGGACGTACTGAATTGCTGAGAGGGGTCCCCCCGGCTACTGAATTGCTGAGCCGAGCCGAGCCCACCGTGAGGTGCACCATGAGCGGACCGATCAGGTGAGCGAGGGGCACCGACACACATTCATTGATTCATTCCTTCGCCTCTTCTCTTCTCTGTGTGTGTGTGCAACAGGACGACCGTCGTGAGTTGACGCCTGACAAGGAGTGGCCGATCACCCTGGATGCGGCGCCTTTGTGTGTATGTGTGTTTATCTGTATAGGAGCGTCGAGACACTCCTAAAGCAAAAAGAGGTGAGATGCCATGCAGGAGGCCTACCTGGAAATGGAGGAGAATTACAAGGTGCTTCTTGCTGTATAGGACTATCGAGCCCTGAGACGGCAGAAGGAGGACCTAGAGCGCACCGTTGAGGCCCTGCAGAAGACGATCGACGTGAGCAGAGCAAGAGTGGGATGGATGCAGGACACTTTAATCAGACAAAAAGAGGTCTGCGTGCTTGTCGCTTGTGGCTTCAGGACCGCGATGCCAAGCTTCGTGACAAGGAGGCGCTGCTGCAGGAGCGGGACAACCGTATCGCAGCACTCGAGGCAGAGCTCAAGGGTGAGGGGCCACGGCCACACACACACACTACTTGTTTGGTGACTCAGTATGAGTGCCATGAGTGTATGTGTGTGTGCATTCTTCTTTCTTCTTTCTCTCATGTGTATCAGAAGCCCGCAACCAGACCCAAACGTACGCCGCTACACTGCAGAAAACACACACACACATTTCCCTATCTCTCTGTGTGTGTGTGTGTGTTTGCGTATGCGAATGGATGCAGATCGTGTGCGTTCATGCCCGAGCACCCGCTGCCAGCGAATACACAGCCAGCAGCAGCGGGCCAGGCAGCGAGGTGGGAGCCCGCCATCCGTCGTCTCGTCAACAAGAACCACACGCAGGCCTACCCCCACTTCATGATCCACGCGCCCGTCTATGGCTATCGGCAGCCGACGGTCTATCGATATTGTGGTAAGTGGGTGTAGGAAGGCACCACTGGGATGCACCTGTGTTGTGTTGGGCTGTACAGCTGCACCCGCTGTGTGGCCGACCAAGACACACACTCCCACGCTCGTCGCCAGTAGCGGTGCGTTCGACATACACGTGGACGCACTTCCTGATTGCTCGTCTCTCTCTCTGTACTCTACAGCCCTCCACGCAGCCATGCCACGGCCCGCCCACAGGACCCCGCCACAACAACCATCCCTGGCCAAGCCACGCACACGTATGCTATCACACAACCACACACACACACAAAGCGACGGCACGTGTGCTATGTGGTGTGGTGTCGCACGATGCGCAGCCACCAACAAGTCGTGCGGCTGCGGGTGCGTCGAGGCCATCTCGAGCTTTATCTTCGGCAAGACATGAGAAGGGGGGGCTGGACACACAAGTGGGGGGGGAGGAGGGATGGATGCATGGATGGGGGGAGGGGGAAAAGGGAAGAGGGAAGAGAGAAGACACGGCCCACATGAGGCCATGATTGTTGGTGTGGATATCGATCGGCCTGCGTACCTGTGTGCCTTTCCTAGATGTCTGTCGGTCTGTGTGCTTGCCTGCATGTGCCTTCAGGAACGTGATGCGGAACTGCGAGACAAGGAGGCGCTTCTGCAAGACCGCGACAGTCGCATTGTAGCGCTAGAGCAAGAGCTGAAGGGTGAGAGGCTACGGCTACTTGTCTGGTGACTGAGCATTCTACCTTCTGTCAGTCTTCGTTCACCCCCGACGAGTGGCGGGCTCTCGCAGCAGCCTGCCGCTCAGCCTGTCATCAAGCGAGGTGCCGTTGGAAGCTCGGCACCAGGTAGATGAGCTGTGTCCTCTCTTTCCATCCATCTCGTGCTGTTACTGCGTGTGTGCAGTGGTTGGTCAGTACATGTACCAGCAGCAGGATTCCCATCGCATGTCAGTGAGCCTGGAACACATGTGCAGGCCATTTCCCTGTATTTGGGTATGTGTGTGTGGCCTTGCAGGACGGTGCACTGCACGCCGGCGATTTACTCCAGGATTGGTGGGTGGGTGGGTGAGTGATACAAACAGGCAGTGGACAGCAAAGACAGGAAGGTATTGATGGGATGAGCTGCATGTGTGTGTCGCGTCAGCGTATGTTGCAGCGCCTCACCCATCATGCCGAGTAGCGGTAGGTAGGACAAACATACGGCTGGACAGACAACGCACTTACTGGTTGTCTCTCTCTCAGTGCGTGGAGCCGTGCCACGCCCTCCTGCCCACAACTACCACCCGCCACCACAACTACCACACCACAACTACCGCCCGCCAAGCGGCGCACTATGAGTACGAGATCACACAACACATCACTGCATATGCACCACAACCCTACGATAGGTGCGTGGGCGATACAGACAGGCAGTGGCATGAGTGAGCTATGTGAGTGTGTGTGTGTGTGTGTGGTGTCAGCATTCGGTATGGGGGCGACCATGTATCCGACCAAGCCGACGTTCACATATCCGACATACCTCGCCAGTATTGGTAGAACAAACACACGGATGGATGGACAACGCGCTCACCGATTGCCTGCCTCTTTGTTCGACTGTGCAGCTACACGGCCTGTGTGGGCGGTCAGAACACCGTTGCCGCCCAACCTTATCCACACAAATACCGGTGCGTTCGACAAAACATGTGCTGCGTCTTGCTTTGTGAGGGTACGTCTCTCCCCGTGTCTGTCTTGCACAATTTCTTTCAGCCATACCACGCCCTGTTGTGTTCGCAAGAGCAGCACCAGCACCGTCCACCGAACAGCCCGGTACGCTGGGCGCCCACACAACCACACATATACAGACGCGGAGAGATAGGTGGTACATACGTAGATGGTGCAATGTGATGTGATGTGATGTGCAGCATCGAAGAAGTCGTGTGGCTGTGGCTTCGCCGATGTGGTCTACGGTTTTCATTTGTGCAAGAGGAGAATGCGGTGAGCAGAGCGAAAGTAGGCCCTGCACAGGCGAGACAAAGTGGCTGTGTGCCTGTCTGCTGCCTCAGGACATTGCTGCCTACAATTTATATTTGCGGAACCTTCACCACCTACGCTGCTGCCCCTACCCACGAGAAGCCCAGCCACTCCACATCCATCCATTCCTTCTTGTCTTATCTGTGTGTTTGCAGCAGGAGCGTGTGTCGCCCATCGAAGGCTAGCCGACAACCCTCGATGGGCCTCAGGTGCGCATCCCCTTCTCCGACTCGAGCCAAGACCACCACAAACGTACCGATACTGACCAGGTGACGCGACGAGCACCGACACACACACACCCGTCCATCCATCCATGACGGCATTCATTCTTCTCTTCTCTTCTCTCGGTGTCTTGCCTCTGTGCGACAGGATGACTCTGAGCTGGCCTACTTCAAGCGAATGGCGAGACACATTGAAATCGTTGCCTACATTTTATATTCGACAGAGACATGATTTACGCTTCGTGTATGATGGCCTCGACAGACAATGTGTGTGCTGCACATGTGTTGGCAAGTGACTCTCCTCCTGGTCAAAGATACTAGTCGTGCGTCTGTTAAACGGCTGCATGCACGCATGACACTTTGTTTGACTGTTCGCTGCGTAGCTAGAATGAATGTTCCTTTCAGTGGAAGGCTCGAGGCATGCATACTTGCACACAACATGCGGTGGCATACATCTCGCGTGGACAGACAACGAGCAAAAGCACCCATACGTCTGCGGCTCATGAACGTGTTAACATGCAGTCGTCTTTGTGTTTGTCTATGTCTTTACCCCTCCTTTTCCTCTTTCTTGACGACAATATTGCCCTCCTCTCTCTTGGCCTTCCTCCTCGCCTGGCTTGGCCGCAGCACCACAGTGCCATCTGTCCTCTCTGTCACCCGCACCCTCTTCTTGCCTGCCTTCCTCAGCACATCCACCAGGGCAAAGGTGCGCGCGTAGAGGGGCTTTCTCTCAGCAGACAGCACCACACACTTGATGACAGGGAAGCTGGAAAAGGCCTCCACCACACACTCAGCAAACGACGTGTACATTCGTCGGGCGTCGGATGCAATGAGCCCGCCAGCGATGTGCACATCAAGACACGACACACGCCCGCTCTCCATCAGAGCCTTGCCTGCCTCGCTGTCCCCACACAAATCCCACTCGAAGGAATGACCTGGCGAGTTCGGGCAAAACTCCCACCTCAGCTGCACGGCCAGCTCCTTGCCTTCGCTCGACATGAAGCCCAGGCCATCAGGCACCAGGGTGCACGTGGCCGCAGGCTCATGACGGGCGGTCAGCTCGAAGCGCACCTCATGCAAAGAGGGAGAGAGAGCACGCAGCACATTCCCCCGCCCCACACTCATAGAAGTCCTCGCCCCGCCCCTGCTGCGACACGACCACAGACGAGACGATCGGGAAGACCGACGAGGGCTCGTCGAGCACGTAGGAGGGGAGCTGCTCGCCAACGCCGCCCGCCGTGATGGTGAGCTCGGTTGCCGACTCGCACCTGAGGAGTGAGTCGAGGCCGGGGATGGGGTCGACGTGGCCTGGGCCGCTGCGTGCGTCGAGGGTGACCTGGTTGGCCTGTCGACAGCACACTTGCACCGTGTCGAGGCAGTCGGCCAGGACCTCCCCATTGCCGGTGAAGGGCATGTGGAGGTGGAGGTCCGTGGAGGTCTTGTTGGCCTCGCGGCGTCGGTTGTGCCGCCAAGCGGGGCTTCGGGGTGTTGGGGGCAGGTTGTGATAGTACGTCTCGACCGCGTCAGCACTCAGGAGCTAGGAGCGGAAACGATGCAGCTTCTGATTGAACGGAAGATGCATGGAGACACGAGTGAGTCAGTGGTGGGTAAGTTCCTCCATCAGCGGGTCCAACAGCCACGCACGCACCCACCCACCCACCAAGCTTGTCAGCAGCCACCCACCTGGATGTATTGCGATGTCTGCACTTCGGCGAGTCCCATCTCGATCTCATCCAGCGGTCCCATCATCGTCGCGATGTGGTCCATGAACGCGTCATCGGGCACCTTGCTGTCCTCGTCGGTGTACACGAACAGTCCGTGCAGTTCGGCCACCAACTCGGACTGGCTCTGCTTGTGGAACGACACGCGACCGGTCAACGACGTCAGGCTCTTGGCTACATCCATCACACACATACAAACACAGAGAGATGGATGGGGTGGGCCATCAGCATCGGTCCTCTGCTTGCTTATATACCTGAGGGTGTGTCCTTGAGGAAATCCGCCACTTGGTCGAGCCGCACCTCAAGGGAGCAGCTGGGATCGTCCTGCAATACACACAGGACATGGATCTGCGACCACATGAATGGGTCCCCCCTCCCTCCCTTTCTCCCTCCCTCCCTCCCTCCCTCCCTCCCTCAGTCGCCCACCTCGTCAGATATGAGATGCAGCGACTTGATGCCTCCTTCTCGGATCCACTGGCGGGGCGCACGCGTGTCGAGGTTGACCAAACCGAGGTTCTTGAGGGCCGGCAGCTGGTACTCACGGTCCTCTGCGATCTTGACCCACACACTGCGAATGCTCGCCGACTCCAAATGCTCAAACACGATCGGCCCCTGATTGATCAATAGATGGAATATACAGCGTGTGTGGGGGACGTCTTTGTCCGTGCTTTGTCCACCTCTCCCCTTCCCTCGTCACCTTCTTGTGTGGCAGCCTGATGCGGCTGAAGTTGCCCTTCCTCTTGCGATTGTCGCGCTCGAAGGCCGCCAGTGCGCGGTAGTCGGGAAGGTCGTTGCCCTTTTTGTCGGTGGGTGGCTCCTAGGGGCACTGCAGATCCACACTCTCAACCTTGGCCGAGAGGCTCTCCAGCAGATACACCAACGAAGGGGTGGGCCGGTGGTTGATGACGATGCTCACACACTCAGACAAACGACGACCTGCATCAGGACACCACACACACATGAACATGACAAAGGTATCCATCCAGCCATTCCCTCCTCTCCCTCCTTCCTTGCTGACCTGTCCACTTCTTAGCGATGTTCATGGTGGGCGATGCGTCGAGGTCGAGTATGGGGTGCATGATGGCCTGCTGGGTGAGGGAGCGGAAGTAGCTGTTGACGCTCGACAGCGACTCCATGCACGACACGAAACCGACCAAGGCGCCCAAACCCTCGCCCATCCACAGGGCCTCAGGCAACTCCTCCAGAGGAGACTTGACCTGACATTCAATCAGTCACATCACATCACCCCTTCCCATCGCATGATCTGAGCGTACCTCCATCTGACGGTCCTCCTCTGTCGCTTGAGCCTTAGATCTGCCGCCCTCCTTCTTGGGTTTGGCCTTGCCGGCAGCCGCCTTGCCTTTCTTGTCCACCTGCTGGCTCTTTCTGTCGGCTTTGGCTTTGCGGCGGCCCCTCTCCAGGAGGTCCTCACCGTCACTGCTCACGTCCACATCCATCGCTGGCTTGCGCTTCTCACCCGCACCTGCAGCTGCGAGGGCGGCCTGACGGGCCGTCATGCGATGCTCAACCTCCCCTGAATCCATCGATGATGACGACAAATGCGAAGATGATGTGGGTGGTGGTGTGATGGGCGACAAATGATGACGCCGCCGCGAGGATGAACGCGAAGATGATCCTGGCCAAATCGCGGCAAATTGTAAATGAAACGAAGGACGAGGACCAAACAACGAGCATCTCCCTCCCTCTTGTCAATCAACCGAATGCTCTAGACAAGGGTACACACTGGTGAACCTCTTCCGAGGCACCAGCTCGCAGGTTTTCCGGCCGCCTAGGGTGCTCCATGAAACTGCTGCCGTTGCGGGAGAGCAGAACCGAAGAAGTGTGCCTACCCCCTGACACATCTCCTGACACATCGGAGAATTGTGCCTGGAAGTGAAGTGAGAAGCAAGAAATTGGGAGGCAAGCGGACAATCATGTCCTTCAGGCGGCGGCAAAACGAGTCAACAGTTCATCGTGCTGTGTCTTCTGCAGGTGTGTGCGACGACGGTGTGTGCGACGACGCCGTGGTCTCTGAGGCCACCTCATCGTCAAAGAGCACATTTGCCGACGCAGGTACGGCCAACATCAAAGCAAGATCATTCCCATGTGGCTGCTGACTCAGTGCTGAGGGCTCATCCGTGCCTGTGTGCCTGCTTGTGTGTGTCGCAGGTATGTCAGCGTGGCTGCAACTAGATGGCGTCGACACCCAGTTCGATGAGGGCACCAGCGATTCCACTCGGGAGCTTGCTACCGGTGTGATCCGCCGCACACTCACCGATGCAGACCAAGTGACGCAGCTCATCCAGCAGGGGGCGAACCCGAGTGTCGAGCCCTCACTGCGGCACCGGGCGGACGACATGGAGGACGGCGGTGATGGTGAAGACAAAGAGGCAATGGCTGGGGTTTATCCGCTGCTATCTCTTGTCATTGACGACATGACCGAGTCCACCATCCCGTCCATCTGGGCAGAGGAACAAGACAATGGGCGGCTTCCCGTCAGGCTGCCCCGCTGGCCATCTCCTCAGCTCCAAGATGCCGTCATGACCGCACTGATCGACGGCGGGGCCGACGTCAATGCCCGATTCGCCAACAGGGAGTCAAGACCCATCCGTGTCGCGGTTGCGGCGGCCAACAGGCCGGCAGTGAGGCTTCTGTTGCAACGGGGCGTCCAGCTTCGCGGATTCCTGGTGATGCGGCTGCCGGAGGACCACAGTATGTGTCGGCCTACCCCCGAGTGTGAGAGATTGCTGATGGCCATCTACCGCCGGCTCATCCAGCTCGACAGCACACTGGCGACTGAACGAGGTCCTGGCGGCTTCGGCTTGGCGCACTGGGCAGCCACCAGAGACAGAGGTCGCTTCTCTCAGTGCTTTATCTACCAGTACATGGACCTACTGCTGGAAAACAACGCCACAATCAATTCAACAAGCGGTTTTGGCGACACGCCGTTGCACGAAGCTGTGATTCACGAATCTCTTCGCGTCACTGAGTGGCTATGTGGCCATCTGCCAGCTGACGACATCAACAGGGGGACGACCAGTGTCCCCACCAGCACCCCTCTCGCCATCGCTGCCGGTCGGCTCGATCATTACAATCGGCGCGTGGATGACGACGGCACGGCAGAAGACATCAAGGAGGACATCCGCACACGGGACATTCCCAATCTTCAGACCATCATCCGCACCATCCTGAGAGTCGGCGCCGGCCCGTCCATAATGCGCATGCGAGCAGCCAGCCACGTGCAGCGACGTGAGCGCCAGCTGGTGCTGGCCGAGTATGCCACGGTGCTGAATGGTCTGTCTGATGTGACCATGTCGGCCATCAACACCGCCCTCGCCCCCCAGCGCGACCACTCGATGCTGCTCGCCCGTCTGCTGCCCCTCGCCCCCCACCACGACGGCAGAGACCCCGCCCCCTCCCCCCTCTCATTCGGACCACACGAGGCAGAGGCCATCGGCTGGAAGATCGGCGCCTTCCTGTACGAGCCGCCCGCTGCAGCAGCGGCCATCGACGAGTACCTCATCAGCGACTCGACGCTGAGGCGCCGCGTCAAGGCGGCCGTGGCGCACTTCGTCAAGTCGGCCGCCACACGGACATCCAGCAACAGGGAGGTCATCGGCGACATGGCCAATGTGGGCGGCGTCATGGTGCGAGTGCCGCTGCAGTGCTTCGCCGTTCGGGGTCAGCAGGGTGGGCAGCATCGGCTGCTGGGTGTGCGTGAGGTCGTCCACAAAGCCCGGCTGGACGAGGCGGCCAGCCATGGTGTGACGGGTGTGGTCAAGGGCTTCAACGCTCACGTCGGCGATGACGACTGCGTGTTCGAATGGCGGCAGCTGGGTTACATCGACGAGACCACACGGCTGTTCGTGGCGCTGGGCATCGACTGAGTGAGTGGTGGGGTGGCGTAAGGGAGACCGGGGGGAGGGGGACGCCATCTGTGTATGTTGCTATGTGATGGCTGGCTGTACGTGTATGACAGCTATGACTGACATTTTGATGAATGCTTGGAATAAGGGCCGGAGGCGCCAGAAGCATTGTATCATCCAGCAACACAACAGAAAGCCCACACGCATCCATTCAGCCGCACCGGTATGAGATTCATGAATGATCTTTGGAGGGCTCAGACCGGCAGATCTTCAGCATTGTGTGATCAGGGCAGTCACAGTGAACAGCCTGCGAGGGAGAAAGACCTCCTGCGATGAATTCAAATCGGTGTCTGCGATCTTTCTCCCTCGGCTGAGCGCGCAGAAGATCTCTGCACAAAACAAAAAATGACGTTTCGTAGCTACAGCGACGGTCATATGACATTCACCTTTGGAGGGAGTGGTGGTGGTGCATTCGATGACCGCGCCACCCTCATTCAGCGTCATGCGGACCGCGAGGTGAATGAGTGGCGCCTCTCGGCCATCCGAGTGACCCCATGGACGCATGCCTTAGCACGGGTACACACACACATACACACGCACCCACGGAAGCCACTGCGACAGGGCAGATCAGGTCTTCTTCTCCTCCTTCTGCCCACTTCTCCTTGTGTTTGCAGATCTCATCAACGTACGTGTCTGTGGTTGATGGCGAGCGTGTGACTCTCACGCACGGCTTCGAAGGGCCCGGCACGCTGCACATGCACCTTCACTCGTCGGAGACCCTCACCCTCCAGCCAGGGGAGTACATCAGTTACGTCCAAGGCAGCAGCAACACCATCCCTCCCGGCCCTGGCGGGGCCGGCAACCGATGCGCCAAGGTCCTGCGGATCACCACCAACCGCCCCAACGGCATCGGGTGGAATGCACTCTGGCCCTATGGAGGCGAGCGGCATGAGTGGAGTTTCGAGTGTGATGGAGGTGAGGGAGTGGTGCCACGACACGTGATAGGTCGAAGCGGCGAATCCATCGAGTAAGGGGGGCACTCAGGTAGAGAGAGGGGCCACGGCTGAGTGTGCATGTGCCTGGATGCGTTGTTGTGCTGTGTGTGGGTGTCAGCTCTATCGGCTTTCACTGCGACAAGCCGGTGCCTGGTAAGACGCCAGACCAAGCATGTGGGCACGGTGGTGTCTGTATCGTCTACCGTTCGTGTGTTGTGTGGTCAGATGTGCTGCCGGAGAACTTCACGCCGGCTCACTTCGCGGCGTTGCCGAAGCGTGTCAGACGACAGGTAGGTGACACACCATACCTGCCTGCCCCCCACGCGCACCACACTCCCTGCGTGCAGATCGCGGCGTTCTTCTCCGTCTGCCACGGGGCCAACGCCTCCCGCCACACCCTTCCCGCCTGCACGCTCCGGGCCGTCACGGCACTCGCATTCCCCGCCTTCACCGGCCTCGCCGACGAGGACGAGGAGGAGGAGGATGGCAACGAGGAGGATGACGCGGGTGATGGCGGCGGCGACGAGTCGGCCGGTGACGATGACGACGAGATGGACGTTGACGATTGTGGGGAGGAAGAGGAAGAGGAGATGGGTGACGGGGGTGGGGCGGACGAGGAGGATGGCGGCAAGGACGGTGGGGCAGCCGCCGCTGGTGGTTCTGGTGATGGCGATCATGACGATGAGGACAAAGATGAGGAGAGTGAGGAGGCCAGCCAGTGAGAGAGAGGGGGAATGCAAAGCTGACTTACTGACGAGGGTTTCGATCGAGAGATAGCCGGAAGAGCTAGATGGATGGATGGATGGATTGACATGTAGAGGATGGTCTGCTCGCCCTTTTCTTTGTTTCTTTGTTTGCGGCACATGCGCACACACACTTGCTTGTGTCGCCCTTCTCGGTGTCGACGCGCTGGCGTGTTTGCGGAAGCACGTCATTTGTGCGGCAGCACCAGGAAGGGTGCCACGAGGGAGTGTGTGAGCAGCGGGGCGAGATGTGTAGGTCAGACAGATCCGATGTGTGCGGTACGCTCCCAGCCATATTGTCGATACTGCTGGCCTTTCAGAGTTCTGTGTGGTTGGGTGGCTGTCCCATCCCCTCCCCCCCTGCGTGTGTGAAGCCTTGGGCACTGTGTGGATGCAGCGGGACTTGGCTGCGTTGGCAACAGTGGCCGGTGCGGTACACACGCTGGGAGGGAGGTAGGACCGAGCCGACTCACCACGCCGTACCATGGCTACTTATCTGCTGAATTGAGCTGCTTGATTTGAGTGTGAGAACTGTACAGTGACGATGGCAAGGGCCGGGTCAAGTGGATTGGATTCGACTCAGCTTGTCAACCCATCCATCCATCCATCCATCAACGGAGCCTTGTCCCGTCATTCAGTCATACATGCGCGCATCGCCCATACTGTCGGTCACATCAGAGCCACCCACAAACAAAGCCACACACACACACACAGACACACACACACAGCCGTGCACACGGGCATGTACGCGTCCGTCCATCTGCTGTACACCAACCACCCCACCCTCCATCCTCCCTCTCTGAGTTAGCTATCCCCTCACTCACTCACTGCTTGAGTGCCTCCCGTCCTCTGTCCGTCACCTCGCGAAAGACCCCCCGCCCCCTCCCCCCCTTCCAATAGGCACCCCTCCCCCGCCGCCCGTGGCCGCCCCCACGGCCATGGTAGTACGAGTGCCCCCCATCAACACCGCCGTATTCGTGCATCATCTGCATCTTGCTCCCGCCGTTAATGTGGTTGTTGGCCATGCCATTGGGGGCATCCTTGCCATTGCTGCCGCCGTTGCTGCTGCTGCCGGCCGGGCCGGTGTGATCTTGCACGTGGTTGTAGTTCTTGGTCCATTTGCGATGGGTGTGGTGGCCATGGCTGTGGTTCTGGTGGTCCTCTGCGGGCCCGACGGGTGTGATGGTGCTGTTGACCAACTTGCGCCGGGGGAGGGTGACGCTCTTGGCCACACGGCGCCCACATGTGTCCATCTCTATCAGAAACTCTACCTGCACGCACACACACACACAGGGCGAATGTGATGAGCCATTCCGTTCCGTTCCTTTGCACGGCTGGATGCGATGCGCACATCCCTCAAGGTCTCACCCTCATGCCGATCTCCACGACGGGCCGAGCTCTAAGTGTGGTTTCGTCGCCATCGTCGGACTGCGCATACGCCGCCGGCTGGAGGAAATGCTCCTCCCTGAAGGAGAGGGGCTCGCTCCCGTCATCGCACTCAATCAGCCCCAGCCCCTTGCCCTCCTGCACAACCACAACAAACCACCCACAGAGCCGATGCAATGCCTGCAGCCGTGTCACGGGCCGTTTGTGAGCCAGAAAGGATGGCGGCCGACCTTGGGATTGTACCTGGATCGCACACACAGAGGACACAGGAGAGCAGAGACCAGTGCAATGGCCATTTGCAGCCATTAAGGGCCGCTTCTGTGTTGATGTCTACGTGCGAATGGTGCCGTAGGAGAGTGGCAGGTAGGCCTCGTCCTCGGGATTCGGTGCATTCAGCATCATGGCGCAGGATGACTGACAGGATGGCCGGCCGATGGATTTTGTGACGAGAACTCGCCGCTTTTCCCGTTTTATGCTGAAGGAAGCCGATGAAAGATGAGAAGGGGCCAGCAGAACCAGGAAAACCGGAGACTCACGAAGAGCGAGCTAATATGGCCGAGCTCGCAGTCTTTCCCGTTCCGTCTCTCTCTCTCCCCCGTGATGCTGACTGCTCTCGTGCTTCAGGGCGCCACCATTGCCCTCACCAGAGCCTCATCTGCAGCCGGCAGCGCGTTCGTGGGTGTGCCTGCCCTGGCAACGAGGCGGCTGGCGACGCCGACTCGGACACAGATGAGGCAGGACATGGACAGCAGCGTCGAAAAGGCGACTCGGCAAGACGTGAGGCGAAGGAAATAAAGGCAGATCTTATCATCTTCTGGTCGCCACGTGTGTTGGCACGCGCATGTGTTCCTTCTGCAGGCTTCTGGTGTGCCACTCCTGCGCACGGACGCCATCCCCAACCCCCTGGAGCTCGTCGATTCCCTCGTGTCATCGTCACTGCCTCCCACGACCAGCGGCAGGAGGAGGGATCCACAGCTCGAGGCATCGTTTGCCCCACTCCCCACACAGCAGCCGCCACAAACGGAGCTGTTCGGCGTGCCAATTGAGGGTCTCCTGTGGAAAGGCGTGCTGGTCGTCATGACGTTCCTCTGGGCGAGCAATTTTCCCGTCATCAAGCTTGCATTGGGAGGGGGAGAGGAGGTGGCGGCGGTAGAGCCAAGTGTGTACGCGGCAGGGCGTTTCTCTATTGCGGTGGGCGGGCGAGGAGCGGGAGCTGAGAACAATGTTACATCCAACAGATGGAGGTGCTTGTGTGTCGCTTCAGGCGCTCGCTTTGTCCCCTTTTCTCCTGGGTGCACCGATTGGCGCATTACTGGGAGGGGCCGAGTGTGGTCTATACATCGCATTGGGCTACATCGGCCAGGCCCTGGCCCTGGCGACCACAACAGCTAACAAGGCTGCATTCATATGCTCATTGCAGGTGAGCGGGGACACATGCGTGGGGCGGGCAAGAGCGGGCGTGACATTAATTGTGCATTGGATCTCTCTCTGTGTTTCGTGTTTGCCTTGCCCGTCAGGTAGTGTTTGTCGTCTTGGTGAGTAGCGTGCTGAAGAGGCATCTGGACAGGTCAGCTCTAGGCGCCGCCCTATTGGCGGTTGCTGGTGTGGGCGTCCTAGAGCTGCGCGGCGCTCGGGCCCCTGTAGAAGGAGACCTCTTCGCACTCGCCCAACCGGTCAACACCACACCCACACCCACACACACACACACACACACTACCGCTCACACGACCCTTGATGCGGATGGATGTGTGTTCTGTGTTTTGTGGGCGTCAGGTGTTTTTCGGTTTGTCGTATATCCGGTTGGGCAAAGTGTCGCGCAACTTCAAGGGCAGCGCTGTAGCCATCTCAGCCGCCCAAGTGGCCGTCGTGGGGCTCTGCTCGCTCATCTGGGCAGCAGTTCAGTCGGGCGGCCTCGACACCATGCTGGCCTCCCTCGCCCCCCTGTGGCAGCAGCCCCCCCTCCTGACGTCCATCGCCTACACCGGCCTCATCACCACCTCCCTGTCGATCATCCTCCAGACACAAGCCTTCTCCAAGGTCAAGCCCACCGACGCGTCAGTCATCATCTCGTCTGAGCCGCTTTTTGCCGCCATGCTCTCGGTGCTCCTGCTGGGCGAGAGCCTGGGGCAGAGCAATTTCCTCGGCGGCGCGCTGATCATTGCTGCGTGCATCCTCAGCGAGCTGGGGGGATCGGCTCCAGCTGAGAATGCCGAGAGCAGCAGCAATCAGGATGTGTCCGCACCATCTGCAGAGAGGAGGGAGGGATCGACTGTGAGTGGTGAGGAGACGGATGCGGCCCTCCGTGAGTACCTCACGTCGTTGGCCCCATTTCTGTGGGTGCCGAGCTATGAGAATGATGACGAGGGTGAGGCTGAGGGTAAGGGTGAAAGCGACCCGACAGATGGGGAGGAAAGGGGTCTGAGGAGCCGGATCATGGAGCTCATGTCGACGTCTAGGGGGCGATAGTGGCTAGCACTATACGAGCGTAGAGCTTGTTTTTCCGTTGGTTTGCTTTGCCTCGGTGCGTATAAATTTGTGTCGCCGAGTGAGATAGCAGTGACGAGCTCCCTGGTCGTCTTTTTCGTAGTCCTGCGGAGGGGGGGCTTACTGCATCGTCGTCTCTATCGTATTCGTGAGTGCGTGTGGTCCTCGCCAACATATGGAAAGCGGCAGGATCCTGCTGTCTGTCAGTGCGTGACTGTCTTGCTGAAGCGGCTGAGTGCATGGCAAATGCTCGGTTCCTCTCGCCCGGAGTCGGCACTTGCCATGCGCTGGGCTGCATAGGCAAGGCAGTTGCACACACACACACACACACACGGACAGATTCTTGTCAGCAAAAGAACACAGAGCCGTGTTACTTACTTGCTGCATATGTGAGACGTCGCCAGTGGACTGTCGTCTCCTTGCTGCTGTGGGGTGAAGGGCGAGCAATTCTCCGTCAGGGCGGAGAGTCGCTCACCCTACACTACCGCCCGGCCAGGAGATGACAGGGCTGTGCGTGCGTCATGGTCATGGTCATGGTCATGTCTCCGGCGGAGGGGGTGAATGGATGGATGGGAATGGTATTTAGCCAGGGTAACGGGAGGGTGTCGGCAGGCCACCAGTACGACGCCATTCATTCACAGACGGGGGGGGGGGTGTCCTCTCTATGCCTGCCTGCCTGCCTGTGTTGCGCCTGTTCTGTCCGTCCGTCTGTCTGTCGGTCTGTCTGTCTGTCTGTTTCCTTGTCTTCATATTTAAGATGCTCGCTCATATACACCTACCTGCCTGCCTGCCTGTCTGCCTGCCGCTCTGTCGGCCGCCTTTCGACTTGTCATCTCGCCTGCCTTTTCCTTCCTGTACAGCACGGCAGACAGGCGAGGGCACTTACCTTCATTCATTCACACATACATCAGGACTAAAACATGTGTGAGACCTGATGATGGATGGGACCGGAATTCACTGGCTTGCCCATCACTGACTGACTTATGTGTGTGCGAGAGACAATGAGAGAGAGGGAGGGTGGGTCGGTGGCCGGGTGGGTCAGGGGGCGGGCAGGGAAGCGTCCTTTCGCTGGTTATGGGCATTCCTGTTTTAACCAAGTGTCTGGTCCGACAGAGAGTGAGTGACAGGTGGCGACGGGTCCCACCATAGCGCTCCTTCCTTGTTCGTGTCTTGATTGTACAGATACCTAGATTGACAGACCTTGTGGGTGGGTGGCTGGCTGCCGTGAGAGGGGATATATGCGATTTTGGCCTGTCTGTCAGTTTTGTTGATTCCGTCTCGTAAGAGAGAGAGGGAGAGGGAGAGGGGTGTGGGCTGCATCCGTCCTCCCAAATGAGATTCTGTCTCATATTCTTGATCCCTGAATGGCTGTCATTCGAGATCGTGAGGGTGTGTGATTTGGCTGGGATGGCTGCACAGCTATGATCCCTGTCGAATTCCATGCCTTCATCTTTTCCTTGATGGTTCCCAAGGGCAGGCACAAAGGGTATGTGGGAAGTGAGAAAGGCACAGATGTGGTCGTGCTGAGTGGGCAAGAGAGAGAGAGAGACAGACAGACAGACAGGCTACGCACTGCGTGAATGCGTTGCATAAGACACGGGCGGTGCTCCTTCATTCATTGTCCTGGTGGTCTCACTCGAATGTCAATGAAGACAGATGGACGAAACGCATAGCTTGCTTACTGAAAGCCGCCAAATGCAACGACCCACATTTACACCGTCGCGCTCCCATCCGACCCATTCATTTGTCACACACAGCACAACACAACACAACACAACACATCTCTCCAGCATCAGAACAACAAAGTCACCCGGTTGGTAGCTCAGGTAACTTCCATCCGTGAGATCGACCTGCTGGGCTGTGTTCTTCTACCCCGTGCGGTTCGGCGGCCACCGGGTGTCTCTGCCGGCTCTTCTCTCTTGACCTTGGCGGCCGTCTCGCCCTCTCCAGCTGACCTTCTTGTGCCTCTCTTCGTGGCTGTCTGTGCCTGCCCCCCCTTCCTGAGTGTCTGTGTCTGTGCTGTCCACTCGGGATGCGCAGAGGGGCGAGGGGGCCAACGTTCCAAACCAGCGCGAAAGGCTTCAACCTGCATGGGCACACAGAGACAGGGACACAGAGACAGACAGCCACGGCGATGCATTTGTGTGCTGGTGTTGGTGGGATGCATGCCTCGTCGGAGCTTTGTAGGACGGTGAAGCCCTGGTTCCTCTGATTTTCGACAAACTGCTGGTGCTCCTTTTGCAGATGTGTCCCCCAGATAAATGAGACAGCCTTTCGCCGGTGTGGCGCGTCAAAAGCCATGTACTTGTCCACAAACTCAAGAACCATGCTCTGAGACACCAAATGAGAGTGGACCAGCTGGATGGCAGGCTGGTTCTTTCTTTCTGTGTCGTGTGCGTGCCTTTGTGATTTTTTGGAGGGCATTCATGGCCTCCTCATCGCGATTGAAGAGGAAGGCACGTGAGATGACCTCAGCAGACATGCTGCACACACGCACTCACACAGATATGTGGACGGAGGGAGGGAGAGAGACATCCATTGGCGGGCTGACTTACAGTGTCTCGAGCTGCCGCGCGTTTGTGGTGTATCCCTCAAGGTAGTCCTTGAAGGCCTGCGGACTCATATCCTTCAGCTCCCTCCTGCACCCACACACACGGACTGTACAAACACACAGTGTGTGTGTGTCTGCACATGCCTGAATCTGCCCAGCCATGTCTCGACGTGCTGCTCGACATCTGCCGGGCCGTGATCGGTCGACTGCAGGTACAGGCTGACGCCCCGCACGCCATAGTTGTCACAAGAACTAGCCAGGATGTGATAGCACAAATTCTGCTCCAACCGCAGCATCTCGAACGCTGACCTGTGGGGCAAGTCGGACGTGGACCTGTGGCGTGGCGGGTGTCGCTTACATGAAGGCCAGCCTGGTTACGAGCTCCGTCAACTGTTGCAGCAGGACGTTTTTCGCCATTGTGGTGTCTGCTTTGCCGGGGAAGTGTCCCACCTGTGTCGCAGGAAAGACAAAGACAGACAAAGACGAGACACACACCGATCGATCAGCCAGCCCGTCCCCCTGGCCTACTTGCAAGAAAATCTCGAAGCCTGATGCCCTGCTGACGCCTTGTCGGGATACCACGACGCCCCTCTGACCGAGCGGAATCTGGATGCTCTGTCTCGTGGGCTTCTCGTCGGCCTCCAGTGCGTCACTTCCCAGGACATCCGAGACAAGCTGCGCCATCCGCTTGGCCTCCTTGTCATTCCAGTTGCCTGATGCGAAGACGGTTATGTCGATCCTGGCGAGAACCGATCCGACGAGGTCAGCTATGGCGGTGGGCGTTGCCTCGGAGAGAAGGAACTCCACATGCCGACTGAAGGAATACCCTGACAAGACCTCGTCCATCGATTTGCTGCACGGACGGAGAGGAAGAAGCAGACAATCGATAGCAGAAATGGCGCTGGAGGCTCACTTACTGTGCAAGTTTCTGCGCCAAGGCGGACCGTTGCTTGTTCAGTTTCTTCTCGAGAGTGTTGAGACGCACATATTCAAACCTCTCCTGCAGCTCGGTGCTCAGCCTGGTGCTGCCGTATTCCTCCCAGATGCGTTTCATCGTCTCGAGGTAAGACTGAAGCAGCCGCTGAATGTTCTGCCCGGCAATCCGCGAGAACTTGATAAGGATGTGGTTCTCGACCATGTCGAACTCTATGGATGAGTCAATGCCTGCACCGCACTCTCGCAAGCAAGCCAATCAGCATGTCTCCACCGATCCATCGATCTGTCGATTCGTACCTGTCTTACTGGCCATGTATGTGGTCTCATCCATTCGGTCCGTGATGAGCTTGATGTACAGGTCGACCATGAACTGCTCTCGGCTGCCGCTTCCCAGCTCAGGCAGCGTGAGGACGACGAGAACAGCCCCACTGACGTCCTGCATCACACATGTGCAGCAATGCGAAAGGGGGCGGCAGGGGCTGGCTTGCTCCGTATGCATACGTAGTAAGACCGCTGAACGATTAGCTCGACGAATCTATGCGTCAGCTTGTACAGCGATCTTTTGGGGGAGGTGTCTCCCTCGCCCTTGCCCTTTATCTTCACCATCTCCCCTGCCGTGAACGGGTTTGGACCGGGCAGCTTCAGCCTCTTGTCGACGGCCGGAGGGCTGCGCCATCTGGCTTTGAGCTCGGAGCTGATATTTGTACCCCTGTAGACGATCTTGTACCACTGCTCGGTCTTCCATTGCTGTGGAAAGACGAACAGCGGCCCAGTCAAAGGAGGCAAGGTCCTTTAAGTGTGATGGCAGACCTTCTGTGTCCTCGATTTCTCGCTGAACAGGGTCTTTGATGCTACGATGGCGATGATGTTGTCTGGCGTGAGAACCCTGTCCAGCATGAAGCTGATGTCTTCAGGGCTCCACTTGTCCAAAAGGGAGGGGCCGCTCATTGTGCGTGGCGGGGGAAAGTGGAAAAGGCTCTCGACAATCTTCTGCTCGCGTCCCACACAGATATGATGTAGACCCATCGACGCCTACACATGTCCGTTGTGCCGTGAACTTGCCTCTGCATCGTCTCCCGGGGCTTCATCCCACTGAGCTCTCTTCTCGTTCGCCAGCGTGGTGAAGCGCTCCAGGTCGGACCCCTCTCGGCGCATGAGATGGAGGAAGTGGAAGAACAACTCGAGCTCCGAATCAACGGCCCGCTCCCCTGATGCTTCACAGAAGTTCCTCGTCAAGCGAATCTCAATCCTACATCACACAAGACGCAGAGACGTAAGGTTTTGGTGTCTCTAACTTTGGTGGACAAAGTTAGAGACTGTCTGTCTGTCTGACTTGAATGCGGCGAGGTCGTCCGATGCTTCACACAGGTCGCCTGATTCTTCCGTGAGCTTGGCCTCCAACCGAGTGGCCCACCCCCTCTCAATCAAGACCCTTGACAGCGAGCCGGGACCGCGGTAGTTGATAAGGGACAGTATGTACTGCTCCGGCTTGCTCTCCCTGACATGCATGACCAAACAAAAGGGACACACAGTGATGAAAGTCCCCTTTCTCTCTATCGATTCTCGCCCACTTGAAGTTCCGTGGCGGCGCGCCCGGCACAACAATCCCTTCGGGAGTGTACGGGAAGTACAGCAGCATTCTGTTGACGTCCTTGAGGGCAGGGACCACGTCATAGCGGATGCCCAAAGTGCCGAATTCATAAGGCGTGACTGGATAAGAGTGGGTCAGTGGAATCTGTCGGTTGGGGATCGGCGAAAAGTACTGAATGCAGATAAGTGGAGAAGTCAGTAGGGACACCTGAAGTGTCTCGACAGTCACGTGTTCGATTCGCTTGCTACCTGCACGACCCATTTCTGCAGCTTATCTAGTGGGAAGGGTCCAATTAGAGACAGTTTGATGGCATTAGCGGAGTAGAACTGATTGAAGAAACCTACCAACGCCTTGCGCACCTGTGCCAAACATGCACATGGCAATGAATGCTGAGCTACATATGCCTGCTCGCGCCGTCACCTTGCTAATCCCCTTGTCGAGTGATGCCCTATTGCCAGGGTCGAAACGAGAATGGGGATGTTGGTGGTTAGCGGCTACTTTCGTCATATGTGGGACGCGCCACTTCTCATTCTGTAGAAAGGCATTGAAGTCGTTGTTGACGGCAGTGATCTCCGACTTGATGGTCTCGTCAGTGAAGACGTGTTCCTTCATGATAAACATATCGGCAAATCTACATACACAGAGAAAGTGGTGAGACATTACACACACAGATGGGCCGATGCCTGCCTGCCTGCATGTCTGTATGTACCTCTTGAGCGCGTCCTGCATGTGTTTCTTCGGCACTTGAAACTGAAAGAAAGTGCCCTCTGCACACACGCGCAACAATCTGGCGCGGTGCAATCAGTGGCAATCACCACCTTGATACGAAGGAGCCTCCCTATCTGCCGACCACGCAATGGACTGACCTGCCACTGTGAACGCGTCGTTGTCTCCACCGATGATACTCAAATGCTTGTACACCGAGTAGGGGTGCTTATCGGTCGGGACCGACAGGTGATGCACAAGGTGCCTGTGGCAGCCAATGCACCCACCCATCGACGTCAAGGAGCAACCAAGAGATGTGCATTGTGTGCAGGTTGCGCCGACTCACTCACTCCAGCAGATGGGCCAGGCCGGGCAGCTCATCGGGGTCCTGCCGGCGAGAAGGAAGAGACACGAGCATATTCGAGGAGACAAAGGCCCAGCGCCTACCTGGAAACTGTGCGCACAGATAAAGATAGAAAAAGACAAAGACAGACACGCACAGGCACCACACACATGTATGAGACATCTATGTCTCCCCTCTCTCGCAGGCGCACCTTCCGGCTTTGACGCGCAGTGCCATAGTGCCGAACTCCTCATTCATATCCGACGCAAGCACCGCCTCCAATTGGTTCTTGAGCGTTATAGTGCGATACTCTCTGCTGTCACCTCCCGGCTTATCCATCTCATCCACACGACGAACGATTCCGCCTGAAGGTCGCTCAGCTGAGGTGACATTATCCTTATGCAGGTGGCCATATGCGCTCCTCTGGTGAGAGAGAAACGGCTGGAGGGGTGCCTTCAGATCTGCAATGCCCATATGGCACGTGTAAGCGTGTTTGGTAGTGATTGCTTACCGTGAGCTGCCCCGGCACTCGTGAGGGTGACAGCAGACAGCAGGGCACCGAGGAGGAGGCGGGCACTAGGCTGCATCTTCGTCCTTGCAACGGGATGTCAATAGCGACGCATAGATCTGGCGCTGTTCTCGGGGCGTCTCAAGTCAGGTTTCAGCGACTACTGAGCCTCTGCAAGGTGTGTGGAAGAACCTCAGGGGCCGAAACACATCTCAGATTCTGAGACTCGGGGAACACCGCCCACGGCCCCCGCATGCAGGGTTAGGGTTACTTGCATGCAGGGTTAGGGTTACTCCTGCACAGGACGGGGTGTAGGGTTAGAAACCCTGCTCCTTCCCGCGCTCCTCTCCCTTTTCTTTCTCTCGGCCTTCCCTCCTAGCTCCTTCACAAGCAACAAGAAGATCCAGCTGTTAGATCTTCACCAGCAACACCAGATCTGCCACCTCAACAAGTGCATCTTCCCCACAGCAAGCAACAGCAAAGCCTTCAACGTCGGCTCATCTCGCGTGCGTGACAGCTCGGCCCATCGACCAGCCTCATTCAATCGCCCTCCAGCAGTTCATCCGTCATGACTTCCGGCCAGCCCATCCCAGCAAACCAAGACGACTCTCAGCTGTCCACAGCCTGTGACGCAGCTCCCGGCGGCACCCCATCGCCCGGTGCCGTGTCTGCCGATGCACCGGTCAAGCCGCGGCGCACGTGGGGCGGATGGTTGGCACAGAGCTGGAAGAAGCTGCTGGTGTTTTTGGTGATCATTGCTATCATTGTGTACATTATCATCGACTCGACGACAGGCCAGAGAGTTGCCGAGGGGCTGGACATATTCAAGGAATGGGTAAGTCATCGAGCGACGGGGGCAGGGAAACACACGCTGCAGAAAGGCAAGAGAGACGAGGATCGCGAGTTCATTCTGTCTGTGTGTACTGGTCGGTTGGCTGGCTGCGGCTGCTTCGGCAGGTTCAGGACAATCCTGCAACGGGCATACTGGCCTACATGGCCGTCTACATGGTCTGCACAGTGGCTTTCATTCCCGGATCCATACTCACACTAGGTCGGTCAGCCAGCCAGCCAGCCAGCCAGCCACTCGAAGGCATGCACCACGAGATGAAATCGCCATAAGATGTGGGTACCGGATGTGTGCAGGCGCCGGCTTTACCTTTGTATGTGCGTTCGGGAATGGTCCAGGGATGGCTGCCGGCATCGGCGCTGTGCTTGTGGGTGCGTTTGTGGGGGCGCAGCTGGCCTTCTTCTGCGGCCGATTCCTCTTCAAGAGCTGGGTGCAGGGCCTCACGGACAAATTCAAAGTCATGCGGGCCATCGACAAGGTCTTCGAAACACAGGTGCTTGGCAAGGAGAGGGAGAGGGGGAGGGGGAGGGGGAGGGATACGTGCGCTTGCACATGCTGTCTTGGTGCTGTTTCGTTTGTCCATCGATCGATTCACCAGGGGTTGAAGCTCAATATCCTGCTGCGGCTGTCCCCCGTGGTGCCATTCTCGGCGTTCAACTACATTGTAAGTCAGTGAGTATATGGTGTCGCATCCCCCTGTCGTGACGACAATAAATGCGTGTGTGCGTATCTCACCATCCATCAGATGGGCGGCACACGGACTCGGTACAGAGACTACGCCATCGGTGAGCACACCACGGATCTGCAGAAGGCAACAAAAAGCGTGGAATCCACACATTCCTGTTTCCTACTTCCTGCCCACGTCTGCCAGGCACCCTCGGCATTATACCGGGCACAGCTCTCTATGTGTACATCGGTGCCATCCCCGCCTTCGCAGGCGCGTGCAGCGGCAAGGCGGAGGGCTCTGGCCACTGGTCTCAGTGGGTGTTCCTGGCCGTCGGGCTGGTCGCCACCTTCATTGCCGTATTCATCGTCACATGGTGGGTGCGCCACGTCGAAAAGAGGTCCGTTCTCTCACGTGTCCTTTCCTCTGTTGGTCAATCGGTCAGGTTTGCCCGCAAGGCTCTGCGTGAGATCACGGAGAAGGAGGCGGCTGAGGCGTCCAAGGCCGACGGCAAGGAGGGTGTGGAGACGCCCGGACCCGACTTGGATGGCGCGACTGTGGTGACGGTTACGTCGAGCACACAACAGCAGCAACAGGCCAACGGCCAAGCATATGTGTGAAACCGGGAGGGAGGGAGGGGGGGAGGGGAGGGGTGGGCATTTATCTCGTCTTTTCGTCTCGTGTGGTGTCTCCATCTGGTGTGTTGTGTGTAACTGTGTGTATGTGTGTGTGTGGCATGCGATGCCGCATGCCCGTATTTTCAATGTGTGACTGTGGTTCTTGTTTTGCAAAGGGGTGCTCGGCTTCATGAGGGTGGGATGGGGTCGCCCGTGACAGACGGGCCGGGCGGGCGGGATGCATGTGCTCTTGTCACTTAGTCCAATGGTGGTGTCTTGACTGGTCGGTTCTTCCCTCTACGTGGTGTTTGTCCAAGCCGCGGTCGCGTGCGCCTGCTGAACAACGATTGTTGCCCCGCACCCGGGGAACAATCGATGTGGGGTGCGCACAGCGATGGTGGGTTGGTCGAGCGTCACACGAGGGAAAGTTAGAGAAGGTCCTTACTTCAGATCTGGCGATGGTATCCTCAGGCCTGTCTTCAGTGCTTCGATGTGAATCTGCTTGGATGGCCATCTGCACTTTCAGGCCGTCAAGTTGCAAAATGACCTGGCGGCCCATCGGTGCAGTCGGCTGTCTCAGCAGACGCGTCGGCATTGTAACAGGCTGCAGAGAGAGAAAGAGGAAGCTCTTGATTCAAGGATTTCTGTCTGTCTGTCTGTCTCTTTGGGAGAAGGGCTGCGTGAGCGCCTCTTCTGGCGACTACTCATTCTCGTCGCGCCCAATCGGTGTACACAACCACCAACTTTTGACTCCGTCAATATACCCGTCCGTCCATCCATCCCATCCAGTGTACATAGCCGGTCATTGTTTGCATCCTGTGGCTCTGACTGACTAACGCTCCCACTCACCCCAGTCTCTGTTTCCCATGTACGGCCGTTCACGTGATGAGAGGTGGTGTATGTCTCTGGCGTGTGGCTGGCTGGGTTGACTCCAACTTGCGTTAATGGAATGCAAGGGCAGTCCCTCACTTCATGCCATGCAAACACGTACCTCGATCGAATCTCATACATCAACATGCACCACACACGACCCACCAAAACTGGGCCAGACAGGTCGACTTCCGCCTACTCCCTTCCCCCATCCCACAGTCACTCGATGCCCAGCGCCACGAACAGCCGTGTGGTCTCGTCGATGTAACCCAGCTGCCGCCATTCGAACACGCAGTCGTCAGCCAGGTGGGCGTTGAAGCCCTTGACCACACCCGTCACACCATGGCTGGCCGCCTCGTCCAGCCGGGCCTTGTGGACCACCTCACGCAAACCTAGCAGCCGATGCTGCCCACCCTGCTGACCCCGAACGGCGAAGCACTGCAGCGGCACTCGCACCATGACGCCGCCCATGTTGGCCATGTCGCCGATGACCTCCCTGTTGCTGGATGTCCGTGTGGCGGCCGACTTGACGAAGTGCGCCATGGCCGCCTTGACGCGGCGCCTCAGCGTCGACTCGCCGATGAGGTACTCGTCGATGGCCGCTGCTGCAGCGAATGGCTCGTGCAGGAAGGCGCCGATCTTCCAGCCGATGGCCTCTGCCTCGTGTGGTCCGAATGAGAGGGGGGAGGGGGCGGGGTCTCTGCCGTCGTTGTGGGGTGCGAGGGGCAGTAGACGGGCGAGCAGCATCGAGTGGTCGCGCTGGGGGGCGAGGGCGGCGTTGATGGCCGACATGGTCACATCACACAGACCATTCAGCACCGTGGCATACTCGGCCAGCACGAGACTGCGCTCACGTCGCTCACTGCGCCTTGTGGGCGTGCGGCCGCCGGCTCTCAGAAGGGTGCGGATGACGGTCTTGAGATTGGGAATTTCCGTTGTGCGGATGTCTTCCTTGCGCTCTTCTGCCGTCTCGTTATCGCCCAGCGTCCGAATGGACATACGGAGACGAATGGCAGCGATGACGAGGGGCGTCCAGTTGGTGTCTGTCCCTCTGTTGATGTCGTCAGGTGAGAGCTTGCGACACAGCCCCGCGAAAACGTAAGAGCCCCGATGCGCCGCCCAGTGCAATGCCGTGTAGCCGCCAGTATTGTTGGCCGCCCTGATGTCAGCTCCGTTGTCCACAAGCAGGTCGATGTACTGGCTATTGAAGGCCTGGGAGAAGCGACCTCTGGACATTCTGCTGGCTGCCGAATGCACCAATGTGTTGCCCAGTTCATCGCGTTCGGCTGCCAAGGTGCTGTCGTACTGAATGAGCCGGCGGTAGATGGCCATCAATTGCCGCTCACCCTCGGGGGTAGGCGGACACATACTGTCCTCCGGCAGGCGCATCACCAGGAATCCGTGCAGCTGGACGCCCCGTTGCAGGAGACCGACTGCCGGCAGGTTGGCCGCCGCAACGGCGACACGGATGGGTCTTCCGTCCTCGTCGGCGCCTTCCGCGTTGATGTCAGCCCAGCTGTCGATCAGTGCGGTCATGACGGCATCTTGGAGCTGAGGAGACGGCCAGCGGGGCAGCCTGACGGGAAGTCGCCCGTTGTCTTGGTCCTTTGCCCAGATGGACGGGATGGTGGAGTCGGTCATGTCGTCGATGGACAGACTGAGCAGCGGATAGGCCTTCTTCAACATCAACAGCCGAGGTGTGGCGTCATGGCGGTGCTGCAGTGAGGGCTCGACACTCGGGTTTGCCCCCTGCCGGATGAGCTGCCTCACTTGGCCTGTGTCGGTGAGTGTGCGGTGGATGACACCCATGGCAAGCTCCCGAATGGCATCGCTGGTGCCCTCATCAAACGAGGTGTCGACGCCATCTAGCTGCAGCCAGGCTGACATACCTGCGACACACACGAACGGACGAGACCCTTGGCGGCCACGTGTGGATGACTCTCGGTTGGATGCTTGCAGACCTGCGTCTTTTGATGATCAGCTGGCGTCGCAGATCACTGCTTGGGTGTTTCGGTATTGAGGTGGGGCGGTTGGCGTGCATGAATCATTTCGCCACCTCGTCAGCCACATGAGATGAGAGTGTCCCACTCACCTTCAGGCTGTCGTGATGAATCTGTTGAGCGCTCGGCTTCGATTCGAAACTTCAGACGCAGGGTTTCTCCAGCAGGGTTCGGTCTTAGGGTTCGGTCTCAGCAGGAGAGATGGACAAAATTTCAGACGCCGTTATTCATCGCCGCCCGTTGTCTGTGTGTCACCTGCCTCAGCCTCGAGGCGTGTCCCGCATAGCCCGGCAGAGCAGCGATCAGGGCCGTCTTCCGAGTCGCGTGGTAGTCATAGTGCAGACCTGCGGCAACAGCGCCGTCCGTATACACGAATGTATGTCACTTACACGTAACATGTGTGTGGGTGCGTGTGTGTGTGAGTGGGTCGTCATACCTGGTGCGTCGATGAGTTGGTTGGTGGCGGCGAACTGTTTGGTGACGACTGGTGGCTTGCGTAAGCCAGCTGACTCGAACACCTTGTTAATCACAGCGGGCACGGACTTGCTGCACACACACACACACGGAATGCCACATGTGATGGATGTGACCAAACCTCGGTTTGCGAAGGGAACGCAAAAGCACACTGTTGCCTCTCTTGGTTCACGTCAAATCCGGACCTCTCGATCCTGAGTGTGTCCCACATTTTGGCGTAGTACCCGACCAGCGACCGATAGGCCAGAGCCCCAGAGGCATACAGATGCGGCACGCTGTACCAATGCCGATGATCCCCTCTGACACAATCCGCCACCTGACCCTGGTGCTCCCCATGCCCATCCACACCAGCGTCGCCACTCGTCAGCAACCGATCGTCAGACACCAGTGCAGGAAGGACGGAGGGCGATCCACCGATTTGCAGCATGGGCGTCCTGTCTTGGCTCAGGTTGGGCTGGAAGTCGATCGGTGATGGCGCGAAGAGCCGGTCGAGCAGTGGGGAGGGCAGCAGGAGGGATTCCTTGAGAGAGGAGGGTGCCGGCCGGATGGGCACGTGGGCTCGAAGGAGCGGCGTCAGCGAGTGGCTTTCGAGCTCATTCAGGAGCAGCAGGGCGCGACCGGAATCACCCATTCTGTGTGGTGTGAGCACAGCACAGCAGCGGCACACAGTCACTGAGACATTCATTATATTGACGTTGGTTGCATCGGTGCTGTCCTCACTCACCTGGCTGTTCGTCCAACACGGTTGATATACTGGTCAGCAGTGGGGGGATGCCCAATCTGACGCAGACAAACAGATCACAGGGTGGATCCGTGTCCCTCCACCATGCAATGCACGTGATTCGCACCTCACCTGCACGACGAGCGTGACATTCGGGAGGTCCAGCCCCATGCCCGCCAAATCGCTCGCAAACAGTACGCCCCTACTGGCACCCGCGAACCGATCCCAAGCGGCCCTTCTCCGAGCCACGGTGAGGTGCCTGTGGAGCGCCATCATGCCCACATCCGGCTGCCCCCGGTAGACAAGGTGTTTGAGCAAGACGTAGGCGAACTGGAGAAACCGCACAGTGGGGAAGAACACCACCAGCTTGTATGTTTCGGGGGCTGCTTGCCGCTCCCTCTCGATAAGGTTGTAAAGCACCAGGAAGAAGCGCTCTGAGGGGTAGTGGAGGAAGTGCTGAGAGAGGGACGGATTGGTGGGAGTGGGGATGGTCTCCACAGGCACGTGGGACGACAGGCGCGTGACAGAGGGGGCGAGCTCGGGCACGTCGCCGGCCGCAGTATCATCGATAACATCACCTCTCTGTCTTTGCTCCATCCACATAATATCATGATTCCTGAGTACGGCCGTGCAGTCCAAGTACTCAAAGTTGGTCCTCAGCATCCGCTGTGCCATCCGCCGCACGCCCTCGTCCACAGTGCTGGTGAAGAGCAGAGTCTGCCGGTCCTCGGGCAGCCGGTTGATAATTGCCAGGAGGGCCTTGATGCACGGCAGGTCCAGCAGGTGCGCCGCCTCGTCGACAATCAGCACTCGCAGAGACCGCTTGAGGGCGGGGAGGAAGTGATCGGTCCGCTTCATGTGGTCCACCAGCCTCCCGGGAGTCACTATCTGCATCGCATCAGAAGTCGACGGCAGGGCAATCAATACACAAATGGCTGACACGATGGACTGACTCTCTGTCTGCTCGTGTGCGTAGGCAGCCTACCCTACCAGGACAGTGGGTCGGTCTTCCCGGATTCGCCTGAGGTCGTCGTCGATGGGGCCGCCGGAAACCATCAAGCCGCAGGTCATGGACCTGTGGTACTGCAGCAGCCGCTCACACGTGCTGTGCGTCTGCATGGCCAGCTCGCGAGTGGGAGAGATGATCAGACACGAAATGCCGCTGGTGCTGTTGCTGCCGGAAGCAAGCACCGAGTGCAGCTGACGGAAAAGAAAGCTCACACACCATACAAGGCAGAGAATAAACAATGTCTGTCTACTGACTGATGAGAAAGGCACAGGCACCTACCCTACCTTGTGCAGCACAGGTAACAGAAAGGCCACCGTCTTGCCGCTGCCTGACGGCGCCCGTATCAGCACATCGCTCCATTCGCTCGCTGGCCTGAATGTCATCTGCTGCACTGCGGTCAGCCGAGCGATGCCCATCACGTCGTGCAGCCCCCTCTGCAACTCATCCGACAGCTTCAGATCGACCACAGGCTGATAGGCGGAGGGCTGTGGAGCTGGTGGTGCTGAGAGCGTTGGTGCTGTTGATGTGCGGGCCCTCTGACAGCGAGAAAAGGCTGGCGGCTTCACGATGAGCGACGGGAGAGACCGTCGCGCGACGGCCGCAGAGCGGAGCATTGGGAAGACTTACTGTGGGTCAGATCTGCGCGAGCTCACGCGAGCTTGACATTGCCATGTGTGAGGAACGCGATATTTGTCAGACGTTTGTCAGATCGTGATGGCGAGCGTGCCAGATGAAGCTGCGGAGCAAGATCTGCTCTCGTCACCCTCAGCAAGATCCGCCTGGCAATGGTCGGTCTGTGTACGTCTGATGAAGGAGGCAGGTGCAGATCTGGTGTGCGCGACTCACAGGGCCCTTGCTGAGGTGAGTGTCCGCGATAAGGGAGACGGAGAGGCAGTAAGGCAGTGCGTGCCTCTCCTTATCGCGCACACAGGGCAAGGGTGGGTGTGGGAGAGCAGACTGGCTGGCGGGAGAGGGAGCGAGGCACACACATGTGACTCGAGTGGATAGCCAGACGAAATAATACTGTGACTGACAGATGAGTGAGTATGATGTGGTTGTCTCTTTGGCTTGAATGTTGCAGGGACACTGACTGCGCTGCGGGAAGACCTCAGCTTTCGGGCAGGTGCGCACAGCGACACCGCTGCAATGCAGTGCACACCCAGAGATGTAAAGCCGCATTCCCCTTCCCTCTCCCTTTCTGCAGCTCTTTTTCTGATCCATCCATCCACCCACCCATCCACCGTTGACTGCCTGTCTGTCATGCCCGACAACCACCAGGCTCCCGATATCACCCCGGCCAACGCCAATGCAGCCGCCAGGAGATCATCCTCCCCTCCCCCCTCCTCCCTCCCTACACCCACAGCAGCGGCCACCACAAGTGCCTCGACGCCGACACCAACACACCAGTCAGCCGCGGCCAACAAGGACAGCAATCGCAGGGACAGCAGCAAGGACAGCAAGGATGCGTTCTGCAGGAAGCGGCGTCCGTATCGGTCCCGGACGCCCCCGAAGGTGCATGTACCTGACTGCGACTTCTCGAGGCAGAGATGGACACTGCGGTTCAGAGACCCAGCACTTGGTCAGCAAGTAGACAGAGGAGAGAGAGGAGTGGAAAGTATGTCTGTCTGTGTGCGTTCCTCTCTATGTTTGTGTGTCTGTGCTGTGGGGTGGTGTCACGTCACGTCACGTCTGCAGAGCGCGAGTATTTGAAATACAATGAGAGTCTGATCGCCACCCGGTGTCAGCGGCTGGGCGCCATTGCCCTCTTTGTGTTTGCGGGCGTCGTGGCCGTCGACTACGACCTGCGGGTCATCCTCGAGGGAGCCGACACAGTGCAGGTAACTAAGGTACACACACACAACATATAGCCGCTGATGGATGGATGGATGTCTGTGTGTATGTGTGAGTGTAGGCGCTGCGTCTGATTGGTCCGTTGTTGGGCTTTGGCTTTGGTGTGATAATAATCCTGTTGCCGTGCTCGAGGCGGACGTGGCCCTACCTGGAATACATACTCACTGCACTCCTCGCTATCGAAATCGCCGGTACCTACGACAGACACCCACTCAACCACTGACATGGCACTGCACTGGGGAGGGGAGGCGGGGGCATGAGGGGCATACTGACCATCCATCCATCCATCTCATGTTCGTCTCCCTCTCTCTCTTTCTCTCTGTGCGTGTGTGTGCGTGTGTGTGTGTGTGGACGTATGCATCAGCGTTGATTGTGTGCAATCAGTTCCGCCTGGCGGCCATGCTTGGCCGGCCGCACGAATACAACAAAGGTAGCTAGGTGATGGGTGGATGCCAAAGCATCAATCAATCAATTGGAGGATGTTGCACTGCACGTGTGTGTGTGTGTCCCTTCCTGCATGTCATGTCATGTGTCTGTGTTCTGTCAGGCATCACTGAGGCGCAGCAGCTGCTGGCCCTCAAGGCGCTCTTCAGCGTAGGGCTCTTCTTCGTACCCGTCAGATTCGTAAGAAACACGATGGATGGGATGACACACAACCACATAATGACGGACACAGCCACACGCATGTAAGCTAAGCGACTGACATGTGTGTCTGTTTGTCTGCGTGTGTGTGTGTGGTGTGCGTCCACCAGGTGTGTGCGGTAGTGGTGTTTGTGGTGACGCTCTTTCTGCACGGCCTCATGACCTTTCTATACGGATCGCCAGAAAAGACAGAGAGGGACCCCACGGGGTGGGAAAACGGTACGTGATGGGCCTCCTCCCTCCCACGACTGCCTGCCTGCCTCCTGACCTGCACCCCTGGATGGGATGGGTCAAGCTTCCTTTCTGTCTGTCTGTCTGTCTGTCTGTCTGTCGGTGCACTCACTGCACGATCGGTCGCTTAGGTTGGAAGAATCTGCTGATGTTCTTCGTGACGCTGTTCGTGGCACTCATCGCACAACGAATGATCGAAACTTTCAGGAGGAAGGTGGGTGAAGTGCACCAAAGACAGACACCAGCCCACCCATTCCCTCACAGACGGCCGCGCACCACACACACACGTGTGTGTGTGTGTGTATGTATGTGCAGGAGTTCGTTGAGCTGATTAAGAAGTCGTGGCGCATTCGGCAGCTGGAGGCACAGCTACACGACAAGTAAGCGTATCGGGGGG